ATATTTACTGAATAAATGAAAATATTTTTCTTACAAAAACCCCATTTTTAAAAATGTCCCATTTCATTCTTTTTGAACATGAAAAAGGACTTCATATTCCTTGGGACAGAGGGAAACTTTGTATCACACATAGTGATAAAGGCTGAGGATCATCATTGTTCTTAAATTTTTATCTACCTATTGAAGCATTAAGGATCTTTGTCTGATATTCTGGAACCCAGAGTCAGATAAGAAGAAAAATGAATGAATGAAGGAGCAAGATCTTTTCCTCAACTTAGGTAAGGACAAACACCGGTATCAGAAAAATTGTGAAAGACTTTGAAATGTGCAAAAAAAGTTTACTGAGTGTCCAGTGTAATACAACCTTCTGGGTTATTTGTGTCCTTGGGCTATTTTATAATAATTAAGCTATAGAAACTGATAGTGAATGCAATGGACTGAATAGGCCCTCTTACCATACATTCATAAGTGGAAATTCTAATCTCAATTTCTCTATTTTTAACCCCTCTATTTTAATTTTGGTTCTGTATTTTTTTCTACACACAGCCAATAAGGTATTGCCCCTGTGGTAGCAATGACTGGGATTTGGTTTTATGGTCTGACCATTTGGTGATCTCTGTAAATAGCTGATGCAAATCTATTCCATTTTTGGTAAGAGAAGACAGAGAATCTGGTTTATTAGTCTTTCTTGTTTATTTCTCATTAGTTGATTTTGAAACCAAATCAATTAGGATTTTGTACCTTCTAGGAAGGAAAATAGGTCTTTAATAGTGGACTCATCAATTAATTTTTATGGTTCTGTGTTTACTCTTGATATACAGTTCAAGTTGTAGGTAGAAACAAAACTATATGTTCCTTATGTCTTTGTGTCTATGTGTCTGTAATACAGAAAAGTGTTTACTTCATTTTGTGAGTGTGAAATGTTTTCCTATTTCTGGAGGGTATTCATACATAAAATTATATTTTCTCTTAAATTAAAGGTGCCCTGTTCTAATTTGCTTAGAGATAAATAAGTGCTTATATAAATAGAATATTTCTAAAATTCCTAGATAGTAAAGACATTTAACTTGTAATATTTTAAATGTGCTTTACTAAAAAATATTGTCCTAATAATTTTAAGAATGCAAGTTCATATAGTTAAGATAAATCTTTGGCAAATAAGACTACCTTAATAATTTTAGTTATCAAGAAAATCCAGCCACGTTCTTTCTCTTATTTATGTATCTTAAATATAATAAAAGTATACATTTTAGGCCAGGTACAGTGGCTCATGCCTGTAATCCTAAAACTTTGGGAGGCAGAGGAGGGAGGATTGCTTGAGGCTAGGAGTGCAAAACCAGCCTGTTAGATAGTCAGATCCTGTCTCTAAAAAGACAAAAAAGTAGCCAGGCATGGTGGCGGCTGAGCCTGAGGCAGAAGGATCATTTGAGCTCAGGAGTTGGAAGCTGCAGTGAGCCATGATTATGCCACTGCACTCCAGCCTGGGTGACATAAAGTGTTCATTTTTGCTACATTAAGAAGGTATAAAAGGAATGTATGTGGCTGTAGTATAGGTTGTTTTATAATTTTGAAAATCTCTTTAATGTCTGATTTAATAGAAATCAGTTGGATTTTCATATCTGCTGCATTTGATTTGGTTAAGATACCACACATCATTTAACTGCTGGAAAAACACAAAGGCACACTCATGAGGGAAGGCCAGAGAATGAGAAGAGAATAAAAAAGGCAGATAAAGTCTTAATATTATTATGAAAATAGTTTTACCTTGCAGGCCCACTAAAAAGGTCTCAAGGACTCTTCTTAGAGGTCTGGGGGGACACTCTTTGTTCTAAAGTGAAGTGTTAGTTTGTTCCTGAATATAAAAGAACATATAATAAAGGACAAAACTTTGAAATACACTTTTATTTGCCTTGGTTTATAATACTTGTGTCTGAAATGAAGCTGAGAAATAAATTTTAGTGAGTTCACTCAGTTTTGAAGAGCTTATTTCTTTGGTAACAATTAATGTCTTTCCTACAATATGACAGGTTATTCTTTTTGTATATGTGGCCTTTTTGTGCTTTCTGTTTATTTTGTCTTTGATTGTTTAAAGAAATAAAAAAAGAACAAAGGTTCCTCATTTATGAATGAGTCAAGGTTATTTGCACTCATGTTATTTTTATGTTTATTTTCAAATATTTTATTGTTGTATTGAAAAATTAAGTAGACAAGTATTGTTTTTGAGGTCCCTATGATCCTATCTTAATTAAGTACCCAATTCTTTTTTGGTGGCTCTTTTGATTTTGCCTTCTAAAGATCATACATAATTTTGAAGAAATAATTTTCAGAGTATCTTTTACAACTAAAATTATCTTTGAAATTTTCTAGAGGGTCCCTAGAAAAATCCCAGATTTATTCTTTCATTTTATAAAAAGAAATGCTAGAAATAATTGGGTGTGTTTGATGTGTTACTGATATAACAGTTTCATGGGATGAGCTGTCATATCTGAGAAGAGATGTGCAGTCTGCCCCAAGTTAGATCTGTATAGGTAAAATTTTATTACTATAAATATTTCAGAAATTGTTTGCTTTATGGGAAGTTACTGGAGATTTGACAATGCCCTTCCAGTTTTATCCTTAGAGGAGCAAAGACCTGAGCTCTAATAGCACTAGAAGAATATCCTGTATTTATCCAGTACAGACTAGTGACCAGATGTGTTTCCCTGATGTTTTGGTGCAAGGACTTCCAGGTTCCTTGGCATAAGTCTTAGAGGGAGTGAGCCCCATTTTGTGGCTTAAATAAAATTTCCTGCCAGTCTTGTAGTATAGGTGCTCAGAGTATGATTTAAATTGAATGAAATAAATTTCTTGAATGCCTGAGTTTCTTTTTCTTTTTTTTTTATGGCCATACTGTAGAAGTCAGCATACCTGAGTTTCTGCACTTAAGATTCATGCCTGCTACAGAATGCTTCTGCATCTTTCCTCTATCTCCCTGTATTTTCTGTAACTGGTTTTCAAGCTCATGTCCTGGGCTGAAGCAGATGTTCTATTTTTGGTGCTTTTCTTTTTGCTATTAAGGTACCCTGCAATTCTCTTTGGAACTAGAATTTGCTGCCTGGCAGGAATATGCTGCAGTATGTTTTATTTCTTTCTTCCTAGTTCTCTATTATCTCATTCCCATTCAAGGAGGTAGAAGGACAGTTATTAGCTCCTAAGGAATACTGTGTTCCTAAAATCTCTTTCCTACTAAATTAAAGGTTTACTATAAATATCTTACCACAGAGACAGTAAAATAAATAAAACCAATATGCTTAACTATATTGGCTTTGTTTACTTGTGAGCAAATCCTTAGGATAATTGACATCTTTGTTAGCAGTAATAAAGAAGGTTAGGTTGAGAAGTGTTCTGTCCTTACCATAGTTGAGCCACAACTGCCCAGCCTGTGTATGCTATAAGCTTGTTACCTCTCCAAAAGTACTAGAAAAGATAGACTTTAGTCTGCCAAATAGGTATTACCCCATAATTCAGTTAATTAGGAGCTAAGATAGATTATATATGAAACAATCTCTGGAAATAACAAATTTAACATTTAAATAGTTCTGACATTAGGGTTTGCTCTTGTGATATTTAGAGTACCACAGACAGTTGGATGGTAATGAGGACAGACGTGTTGCAAATTATTTCTTATAGCTCTACCATAGTGCAGACCTCAGCCCGTTAGCCTTTGTGATCTCAGGAGAGGTCTGCAGCAATTTGCTCTACCTGGTGCAAAAGACTTTTGGGAGACTTTAAGGGAACATTAACCCAACAATTTGTCTGCTATAAGAACATCTATACATACTTCAACACTTTCACTCCTGGAGGTAATTTGTGATGGTTGTCTTAGACTGAGATTCTTTTTCTTCCATGGCTTTTGGCAACTGAAGTGCTATTCTCAAACACTCTAAAACTAAAGTTTGTCAATGGAAGGCTGGCATTCTCTGTTTAGGCAACTAAATTCTGACATTTGCTCTCAGAGCCAATAGAGTTTACTGTATAAAGAGTTAGGTTATAAATTTAGGCAGTTTTATAGCTAGAGAAGGCAGAGACCAAGAACAATGATATATATAAGATCTAGTTTAAAATAAATCAAGCTCTTGAAAATACGAATTTTAATAAAAACGGCTATTATGAAAATACCATAATTTTTCAGTTTAGTCATTAATATAAGATAAAAGAAAACATGGAAAGGGCTTCTAGGCTGGCAAAACATTTTGTGGTCTGAAATATTTTTTAGTGTATGTGCTGCCAAAGTGAGCACGTGATCTGAAATACTTTCGAGCCAAGACATAAGGTTGGTTATTATGGTAAAGAATGTTTTGTTTATGACATCATTCAATGGACCCAACAGTTATCATGAATGAACACATTTCATTAAGATATATATACTTAATGATATTGAGAATATTCAAATTGAGGTTTTAATAGGAGTAAGCATTACCATGTGCAAATAATCTTAGTTCTATAAAATCATATATATGTGTGTATATATAGTTTCATTATTATTATTTATCACCTTTGTAAAGAGAGGCAAAAGAAAAGCCTAATCCTTTCTTTCTTCTCTGTGAGGAAGTGGAGCTAAAGGCTCTTGGTAAGGTTTGGAATAGGTGGTGGGTGAGTTGGCTGGCTCTGGGAGATCATGTTTAAATTTAAGTAGAAGGAAGGATTTTGGAGCTTTACCTTGGGAGTAAATATCATGTATAAAGGGAGCTTAATATAATAAAATCGAGTGAGAAACAAACTACAAGTCTCCAGGGGAATAGCAAAAACCATTCTGCAACTTGTAGGATTCTCCAGCCTGCTCCTGAGGTAAACTCCCTAACCCACCACACTGAATCAAGACCAGTAATTTCTGAAGCCCCATGGATTTTCAGCTTTGTGGGGGCCTGGTTATAAATACCAGATGCCGACCAGACCAGTTAATTGACCATATGCAAGGACATGGCAGCAGGTAAATTTTCATGAGCCCCATATTTTCATACCTTTTCCCCCATGGATACACCCCCTGATGTGATGATGACATCAGCACGACTGATCCCTTCATTCAAGGCATTGAGTAAATCATCTGGGCTGGAAAAAAAGAAAGACAAATAAATTAACACACAAGGAAAAGATTTTGGATATAGTGCTAACTTAAAACCAAACCACCAGTAGGTGGCATTAACATGAGTACAGCACTATATTCTGATTGAAATGGGAACCAAAAGAGTCTCTGCCCAATGGGAGCATAACTCTTATTGTGGAGAAACGACCTTGTAAGTACTGAGGTAGTGACTACTCGTGCTTTCACAGGGCTTTTTGCTCTAGCAAAGCAGTATAATGAGGGGAAACAGTGAGGTGTTGAAGGATGTCTAACCCATCCTAGTTTGCCTAGGAATATCTCTATTTTAGTACTGAAAGTCAGAAATCCTAGGAAATCCCAAGAAAACCAGGACAGTTGGTCACCCTAGGAGTTAGAAAGATCACATAGGACTCTTTAGAGGGAATGACTTAAGTAAGGCCCTGAGAAATAAGCTGGATTTTGAGAGGTAGAAAGGAATGGGAAAGGACTTTGTAAGCAAGAGGGTCTGTATTAGCATAGGCTTGGAATAGTGATTATGTCTGTGGTGTTTCTAGATCACTATGGGAAATGGCCTGGCTATAATGAAGGACTTGATTGGGAATGACTGGGATAGGTAGGACAGGACATGATTTTGGAGGGCCCTCAAGCCTAAGAATTCGGAGTTCATCTATTATTAGGCTTGAGGGCCCTCCAAAATCATGCCCTGTCCTACCTATCCCAGTCATTAGGAAATGAGGGAGGGGGTCCCTAGAAATATGAAGAGCCAGTAGGGGTTTATTGGGAAAAGAAAGGGTAGAGAAAAAAGGATAAGGAAGGCAGAGACCATACAAAATGTTCTGAAAGGGTAAAAGTATAAGATGAATATTAGGGATTAAAACTAGGTAGGTTCCTCAATGTGAACTGAAAAGGCAAGTGCACAAGGCCCTTTGATGGCACAGGTCAAAGGCCTGGGGAGGAGATGGAGAGAAATAAAGAGTCGTATCCTCTGGATGTTAGAAGGGTTGAAAAGACCGAACTTGAGATTGATCAAGTGAGAATAAACAAAATGCCAAGCAGGAAGACTTATGGAGGGACAGGATAGTAGGGAATAGTTGAAAGGGACTATTTAGTTACTACTTTAAATCCATACAAAGCAATTGACCAATGTGACCTGCACTTGGCATTTCCCTTCAAGCGATGCAGTACAGAGAAAAGGTACCTTTTGAGAAGTACATGTTCAGTCAACACCTTTCTTTTCTGAGAACTTCTTATCTGTGGAGGAGGGAGTGTTTGCCTTTACACTACCTGACTCTTCCTTTCCCTTTCTTGCTTATGGATATCTAACATGAACAACTATAAAGGGATTAATCCTGACTTCCAATTTTCTATTTCCTACTTTTAGTCCCTTTTCAGGCTCAGCTGTATTCTTACTTTTGGGTTCCATGAGGTAACCCTATATCCTCCTCAAAATCTCTTCTTTGCTTAACCTAGCTTCAGCAATTTTTGTTAAACTTGAAACCAAATGATCTCTCAATGAGATAGCATATATCTCTCATGATAGTGAAGTTTATTCATGTGCCTTTACCTTATTAATGCACTACTTGATAGAGAGGAAGAAGAAAGACTCCAGATGGCATGATTTATAACTAGGATAGCATTTTAGTTTTTATCCTGTCATGAGAGAAGAAAGGAGAAGAACTTGATACCTAGCAGACACACTACCTCCACAGGCTCTCTAAGAGATAAGCTAGTAGGGCGGTGGCATAGCATAGCATAGAGATTAAGAATGTGAACTCTGGAGAGGGGTGTGGGGAAAAAAAAAAAAAAAAAGAATGTGAACTCTGGAGTCAGACTGCCTGAGCTTAAATCCTGGCTGCACTACTTGCTAGAAATGTAACCTTGGACAAGTTTCTCATTGCCTTAGTTTTCCACCTGTAAAGTAGGGATAATTGGGTTATTATGAGAATTAAATGACATAATACATATAAAACACTTGGAATAGTATCTGGAACAAACTAAGTTTTCAAGAAAGATTACTTGTCATTATTATTGCTGTTGTGCTAACAGACGTTAATCATGCAAACAGAACTAGCAACAACTTGGCAAAGTTCGACTTTAGCATGCTTTGCAGTTTTTATTCTGGAGAATATCCATTACTAACACAGAAGAAAATTATAGATTGGGACTTAAATACATTCACAGAATTACATGTAAAAGGTCCAAATGGCAAGGTAGGCCTGGTTCCAGCCTGAATAATTTTATTTACTATGAAGTTCTCTGACAGGATCTGGGTAAAATTCTTCTTTTCCTCTAGCACTGGCCTGTCCATAAGTGTACTGGGGGTTGCTCTGGCTCTGGAAAGCAAGCTCCCAAGGAGAAGGGACAAAAGTAAAAGTTTGAAAAATGGCTCATGTGAGGTTCAGCCTACCAACATAGGGACCCTTCAAAGTCATTTAGTTGATTGCTTAGGCAGCCAAAAAAGGTATCTATTGATGGTAGATCTATGTATAAATCATTAAAAATTTAAAAAAATCCCTGACATGGATTTCAAAGTTAAACTGGTTGGGCAAACATCTAAGAAGAATTATATTGAATAATGGGTATATTTAAAATATTTTTGAATTAAGTATTTTGAACAGATTTTTCATTAATACTTTTCATTTTTCTTTGGGTAAAAAGACAGCAAATTATTCTGTTGTGTTGAAATACTATACAATGTGCATGTGATGGGTTCCTGGTGCCCAGAGCTCTGGGCTCCTTGCCTTGCTAGGTCATGTTATCATTATGCTGAGCCCAGTGGCTGACCTATGGAGCAAATGGAAAAAACATCACAAACACAGCATAACATAGATGTGGTTCAAGTGAAAGAATAATGAATATTATCAACAAAATATGATTTTGTGTTAGTACAAAGAGATATTAGCTAATTTGACTAATCTTACAATATGTAATGTATAACATATGTTGAATCTACAGGATTATGGTAAAGCCATGGGAAACAAAGCAGCAATGACATGCATATTATCATCGTATTAAACTTTGTAGGTGGATAAAGGTCCTAAGACAAGCTAGCTGATAACTGCAAACTAAACATACTTTTCAGTGATTTTTCCCCCTAACTCGTTACTTTTGTATTATCCGGGAAATATTTTTTTCCTAATTTGTAAAACTGCATAGTCATCAACTGTCCACATGAAATTTTATAATTTGTAGAAATAAATTAAAAGGGATTTTGTTCTAAAACCTTACTTTAATTTATCATGTTTTAAAGAATATGCTTAATGCCACTTTCTACTCTGTGGCTAGTAGATCCATAAAACCATTGAATCTCAAAGTTGGAAAGATCATCTTGTCTAGTAACAAAACTGGACCCATTATATGGACCTGCCCTTCTTTATCCTCCTTTGCCCCTCTCTGACTCTACTTTCTGTTGTACATTTCTGGTATCTAAGGATCTAGTTAGACATCATGGCTTACTAGAGAGACAGTACAAATATATGATAATAGTCAGAAGATCTATAACTCCATTTATTACCTCAAAATAAATCTGTAAAGTAGACTGAACTGGTATTATTTGCCCATTTTAAGAAAAAGGTAAGTGATATTCAGAGAGGCAAAAGAGCATATTAAAGTTTAGATAGAGCTGTAAGTGGCAGAGCAGGGACTACAACTTTTGGTTTCTCATTAAATGTTCCATTCCCTATCTAATCAGATGTGATTGTATAGTTTTTTTTTTTTTTCAGGCATATGACATGTCATAGGAAGATTCTCACAGGAGACTCTTGTGCAAAAACATCAAAAATAGAGGATGCTAAGGCAACAGGTGTGGATTTGTTCAGGATGATAAGCAAAAGACTGTATGTATGGACATGTTAGTACAGTTCTAAGGAATGAAACAAATATGATTCTGAATCTTACATTCAGAAAGAAACTAAAATTTTGATTAAACATAACTTAAGAACTTATTTACATAAATTCACTTTAGTTTTTTTTATTTTTATTTTTTTTTAGTTCCAGAATGCATAGTTACTTTAGTTTTTTGATTCATATTATATTTTAAGTTATAAAACATTTCCAACATAATAGTGTAATAAACATCCATGTATCCGTCTCTCACAGTAGTTGAGAAATGCTAATATTTTTTAATATTTACTTCATATTCCCTTTCAGACTTTTAACAAATAACTGAGTTTGCTAATGACTAAATAAGCGGAGGAATTATAATTATGTAATAAATATGGATTCTCAAAGTTGTAGAGATATACTGCAAAAGAAAACTTAATAGTCTAGAATTATTAATAAAAGCACTAGCTCAGCATTACCTAAAAGTTGAGGGGTGGAAGATGGGGGAAATAAAAGTATTCTAAGATCTCATCTTATTGGTTTAGGGGGTCCATAGGAGAAATGGAAATGTGTTGTAGGAGGGATATAGTTAATACTTTCTTTTTATATAATAGTAGATAAATATACATTTGATTATGAGTATTAGAAATTAGAAAGAAAAAAGGGGCATGGTAAGGTATAGCATAATTTTCAAAGTAATAAGGGGATAAAAGGGAATAAATAATACTATGGTCAGACTAACAATAGGGAAAGAAAGTAAGGAATAATAAAGTTGTATAGATAGTAAACAAAGAGTAAGATGAATGCAAAAACCTCAAGGGAATCATTTATAGCAAAGTTCCTGGTAAAGCAAAATACTTATGCTAAGATCAGAATTATAGTAATTTAAAGCAGATGTACGATTGCCTTTTTTTTTTTAGCTCAAATTCAGTTTTAATGTTATTTTTATGAGGGACACTTAAAAAGATGAAAGACTGAAAATAACATATAGGGCAAAAAGCCAACATGCAAATGTAAATAGCAAAAAAGCGGGAGTGTCAATATTAATGTCAAAATGGGATTTAGGCCGGGCGCGGTGGCTCACGCCTGTAATCCTAGCTCTCGGGAGGCCGAGGCGGGCGGATTGCTCAAGGTCAGGAGTTCAAAACCAGCCTGAGCAAGAGCAAGACCCCGTCTCTACTATAAA